AAAGTAACCGCCACATTTTCTGGAATAAAGTTCAATAAACTTGACTTCTGTCAGCAGCCATCCTGACACCCTCCATAGACTCCGTGATTGAAGGAGGGCTCCACCCACCCAATGAGATAATTGCACAACAGCAAGTAAAATACTGAAAGTCTTCTATCCAGTGGGCCTAAAGCCGACCCCACCCTCTTTTGGGGTTGGCCACACCCCCAACCGATTGAAAAGATTCTGGCGGGAAGCTTTCTTTGCATGTGCATGCCCAGTGTTAAGGAGAGGAGGAGGGGAGCCAAGATCTCGTTACTTTTTTGGGTAATACATGCAAAATACTGACAGTGGGATCATGAGTGCTGCACGGCAGGATTTGGGTCACTCAACTGCCCCACAAACTCGTTTCTATCATATCCCTTCGCTAATAAGACCTTGCCCCTGCAAGCATAGCTACCTCTCACAACTAACTTGATGTCTGCTGAAATTTGCAGAAGGTAAAATGATAAAACCTGAAATGAAAAAAAAAAAAAAAAAACCTCCTGAAATGCTTCTCCCCTTTTTCTTAGAAACATTGGGAGGGCTACCGTCTTCCCCGAACACAACGCACCCTGATTTTGACCGTATCTGGCCGGAAATATGGCTTGTGTACATTCATCTTTAGGGTGGGTTATGTTCGGGGGACGACGGTAGCCCTGTGGGTGCCAGGCGGCCCAGCCCAAGCGCAAACAGCCCAAAGCTGCCGGCATGAAAGTTAGGGTTGATGTCAACCCAGGCTGATGCTACCATACACATACACACACACACACACACACACACACACACACACACACCAAAAAAACCAAAAAAAAAACCAAGAAAATAAGAGGCTGATGCTACCATACACAGCTGATCCTCATGACCCATGGCAACCATGTCCATTCATTGTGGGCATGGCCAGCATGGCAGCTCTCTGGAGTGGGTGTTGAGTGTGGGTGTGGGTGGTATTTGAGGACTCTTTTTTTTTTTTTTTTCTTTTTTTTTGCATTATAAAATCGGGAACGGGCCTGGCGTCCCTCACATGAATGCCGCAGCCAAAGCGGGCTGGGAGAGGCACTCCCGGCCAATTCCATCCCCAACCACAGACCTCCCACATGAAGAGCCTGTCTTCAGCCCGTCCCATCCGGGTCCCTAGCTAATGTGGAATTTAATCCCATTCTAATGTCGCATTTATAATTTTATATCGATTAACTTTATATTGTCCACACACGGAAACAGCCACACAAATTTCTCCCTCCTTCGCACTGACAACCGTTCTGGCATCTGGGAATTCCTAGGTTGTATTGTCACCACTTCTGTTTCTGTGCCCTCTGTTAGGTGTGTCGCCACCATGAAAAACCAGCAGTTTATCTTCTCTTCCAACCCTATTAGATTCCTCTCCACCCAAGATTTTTCTTCTTACGGACCTAGGCAGCAGAAGAAGGGTGCCGTGACTGGTCACCTCGGTAGGTTGTTGGCCCACTCCTCCGATCACAGAGGGGTGGGCCTAAGTTTGCTTGTTCTAAGAAGGGAGCTTCGGCTCAAAGGGTTTCCGACGCTGAGCCTTTCGAAATCTTTGGCCAAATTCTCAAGTCACCATGGGGGGGTCTGGGATTCATGGGCCTCTATCTTCCGTTCTTTGGACCAAGATCTGATCTAATGCTGCTACAGGACCTGGGCGGTACCCTCCGGCGGCGGGACTTCTTACTTTTGTTATTATCGGCGCCTGCTACTTACCGTATGTACGGAACGAGATTCAAAATTGCCGCCCGAGAGATGCCTGTTTGGTTGCCACCTTTTTGGCCTGCTGTTCGTCAGTCATGAAGTACTAATCCCCCGGTTCATTGGCTTTATTTAGGCTGAGCACGTTCTCCTTGGTCTTGTGCCTCGGGGCTTTCTGCTCTTGTGCGCATCAATCTTGCAACCGGTGTGACACCTCTGCCAGCTCTACAACAGGTCCTGCTCGTGGACTGGTCCTCGCTCGGTTATGCAGGCGCGGTTTTTATAGTTCTGGGCTGCGCTCCTGGTCTCCTCTGTTACCTCCCTCGACTTTCCTACTTCCTGCACTTCTTCCTTCGTGTTTCTTTTCTTTCCTTTCTCTGAACCTCTGCTCTCTGTCTTAGTCTGTCACCTCTTCTCGACCGCTTTCTATTTTGATCCCTGTCACTTACGGTTTTCAAGACTCCTCGCGATATGGCTCGGTTGCACGATTGTCTTCTTTCCCTCTCTCAATTCTGTGCTTCTCTTCCCTCCCGCCCCTGGCCGCCTTTTCTCCCCTTCCCTCTGCTTTTCTCTCCTTCGTGCTCTGTCAGGATACGTATGCTTTGGAGTTGGACGTTTTGGAGAGAAGGGTTCTCTTGAGTCGATTACAATAAGTATTTAAGAAGGTTTTTGTCTTAGCCATGACACGCGTTTCACATCCCCTGATGATAGCGTCTCTGGTGGGCGCTTGAAACGCTCGTAGGGACACCGCCAGTTTGGCACTTGTTCTTCATTTTTTATACTTCATTTAAAAGTGCCAGAATTTTTCGCGTACTCGTGTCCATGGCCCTCCATTTTTTCTTTGTGTCGTTCTCGTTTTCATTCTTACACTTCACCTCTACCCTCTCATGCTTGTTTATCTCTTAACCTTTCGTTCTGCCATTATCGGCCTTTACGCACTAAGTCTGCGTCACCCTTCATCGTCACACAAATTTCTCACCCTCACCCGTTCCATTTACAGTAATCTTTTTTTTTTTTTTTTTTTTTTTTTTAATGGGCCCAGTGCCCAAGGCTCTAGTTATGAAATTGATTACAGTAATCTACTAATCATCCATGCCACTTATGATGAATTAACCCCAAAATAGTATCGACTCTACTATCGAGTTTCATATCAATCAACCGTAATTTATCTACGGAGGAAAGAACTTCGGCGCATTAGCGCAGCGTTAACGCGTCACACCGGCGCTTTAGCGCAGCGTTAAAGCATCACACCAGCGGCGCAATACCACAGCGGTGTTTGCTGTGCTGGTGCGTCACCACTATACCTGATGGAGCTGATCGGGGGCTTTCCCTCCGGTCGTTGATACGGAGCGAGCGCAGGGTAATCCTGCTTCCACGTTGCCTGGAGCAGCACTGGAGCAACCTGTCGTATTGTTTGATTCTGAAGATTGAAGCTGCTGAAGCTGATTTGCGGTCACTTTTCTGTGTCGGCTGCTTGTGCTTCAATGATGCCGGTTTTGTTCGGTCTGACGACTCAAGTTGGTGTACCTGCTTTGCGGCTGCTTTCCTTCGGTTTGATGGCTGGTTTCTTATTGTGTGGCCAGCGGGGATAATCCGAGATGTTGGGCTTGATGCCTCCCCCCCATTGAGCCTGCCATCCTGGACGGTCTTCGCTCATCTGAAGTTTGACCATTTTGAATTTTCCTAAATTAGATTAGGAACTGACAAGTCTCTGCATAGAAGGAATTCTGCAATTAAGTTGTTTTCATTGTTAATGAATGGACTCTCTTACTTGTAAAAAAAAATAATAATAAAAAAAAAAAATCTGCAATCGAGAGCCCTATAGGCCCTATACTAACGTATACAGTTGAAATTTTCGTGACTTTTTTTGTTAATTAGGTAATCAGGGAAGGTGTAGAGTTGGAAATTGTTGTGACTGTCTTTGTTAATTAGGTATTAAGGGTCGATCTACGACATTGTTCAGAACATGTCTAAAACAATACCTTGCCTTATCCCAAGAGGCTCGACTCTTGCGAGAGCCGACGAAGGCCTCTAGCGAGCCT